CCCCAAAACCCCAAAACCCCAAAACCCCAGTTTTGTCTCCAATTATTGATTTACAAGTGTTATTTTAGATCGTGGTCGATACTTTTGAAAGATGAATTTGAGTCACAATAACAGAGATATCATCTAGTTTACCTCCTAAAAAGACTTTACGATGGTAGGCCTTCTCTGCTGAGATTTCAAAAGGAGATCTCCAATTTTCATCATGCCCATGAGTACTAGAGAGAGCTGCTATTTCATCAGAGAGTCCTTGGAGGTTTGTGAGAATGTTATTTTTCAGATTTTTAGTGAGAATATCTATAATTTCTGGGTCAAAACAATTGTCAAATACTCCATCGCTGCCCATTACAATGATATCACCGTCTTCAACAGGATGCCTGCTGTCAACTGCAAGTTTGGGATCGTCTCCATTAGTTCCTCATTGATAAGGGAAGTTGAAGCTTTTTTGCTGTTCTTTACTTCTGAAGAGAGTTTTAAGTGTCCCGTTTTCAGGCCTCAGAAGAAGATAAGAAGAATCTCCCAAAACTGTAGTATCAATTGCTTTTCATTGAGGGCGTAAAATTGCTATAACTCATGTGCTTGTTCCGATATGAGTGGTGCGGTTATTTGCTGCTGATAAGATTTCCTTTGGAGTAAATTCATTATTTTTTTCATATTCTTGACCAATGAACTTGATGAGTTGTTTTGAGTATAGTCCAGGGTCAACTCCGCTGGTGGCCCAACCTCCTACTCCATCTGCTACAGAAATCAAGCCGTCTTTGACAATAAGTGCGTCTTCCCCTCCTTTGTCAACTTTGTCTGGATGAGGAATTATAGTTGAGCCAGACTCAAAATACCCTTCAAAGGTCGCATACTCCTCATATTCCTGCTCTTCTAAAGAGCAAGGTTGGGCTGCTCAGGCTGCTAAGACTATGAATAATCAAATAGTTATGCACTCAACTCTGGTTGGCTTTTTCAAAGACATATTTTTATAAAAATCCTTCTAAAAGGGGTTTTGGGGTTTTGGGGTTTTGGGGTTTTGGGG